TTGCGAGAGAAGCCCAAATATAAAGGCAAGGAGAGAGAGATGGGGTTTGTTGTGAAAGGAGTTTCTTTCAGGTACTCTTTGATGGAGTTTTTCCTTATAAGCGACATGAAATTTGTGAATTTCATACCCTAAGCAATGTCGAGTCATTGATGGACAATGACGACGGCGGGTTGGTGTTGGAACACACTTTTTATTACGTTAAACTAAAGTCGCGTTCATTTCTGATAGGTTTTGATAATTGCCAAACCGCCGTGGATATGAAGAGTTTCGCTGAACAACTCAAGGTGTGAAGAATGGCATGGAACAAGACCAAAAGACTCAAGGACAAAGATCAAGAATTGAAGACTTAGTCGAGTCGGTCTTATTGTGATCAAAATCGACAATCAATTCAAGTCTCGGTTCTCAAAGAGTCAAAATAATTTTACAAAATCATAAAATGTTTTTGAACATCAAAATAACCTTTTTTAATAAAGTTTTAATGTTTTAAAAACCCTGGTTCTTGTCCAGACCAAAATCAACCTCGGTCAGCGTTCGGCGTTCGACATCGGTGTCCGGCATTCAGGGTTCGGTGTTCGGTTTCAGCGTCCGAACCAACTTGGTGGTTTTCAATATTTTAAACCTCGTTTTTACCTCTAGGCATATTTAAAAGGTTCCCAAACAAATATTTTATAAAAACCATTTTTTTGTATTTTGATAAATGAGTCTAACATGTGAAAAACGGTCAAAACCGTACACACGTGAAAAATGACCTCGAAGACTTGGTTTTTAACTAACAAGTCTTAGTTTCACTATTTTATACCACATACAATGTTTTTCAAACTTGGTTTTTACTTTTGGGAACACTTCGCTTTTGAACCTCGGGTTCTCGAGTTAAGTTTCTCGCCGGATAGTTTTAGCCAGCTGAAAATCGATTGTCAGCTAATGACATTCGAATATTGGCTACTGCAGTTTTTGAACTTAAAGTTCAGAACCATCCAATAGTCGACTGACACAAGTTGTCACTCGATTATCCGAGTTTCTTGTTAAAACCCAGAAACTTCTAAGAGGCTTGATAGTCGAGTGATAGAACTTGACAATCGACTATCAGTATTACCGTTGTCCTCCAACGGATAGAATTTTAAATTTTTTGGCAGGGAATCTTTAGATAATTGATTATCAAGGTTGGACAATCGACTATCACTCTGCAACTCTGAAATTTTTGTCTTGATCCTGTTAGAAATTTTGCAACGGGTTTATCCCATTTTAGGCTATAAAATGGCACCCAAATCCTCTCATTTTACACACAATTCTTCAACATTTCAATACTCTTTTATTGCATAAGCATTCCTAATTTTCTTAGCTATTTGAGAGCCAATTCTTGAAGAAATTGTCGTGTTCTTGAGCGTTTACTAGTTCACTCATATCTACTCTTTGTGAGAGTTTTATTCCTGAGTGTTTAAGTGTTTCTATACACTTTAAGGGAGGTTTTCCCTTGTTGTAAACTCGAAGGAAGTCTTTTGTTCCTTCGTGAGAAGTCTTGGAGTGTGGTATCTCCGAGCAAAGGCGTTGAGGCTCGTGTGACTTGGGTTCTCAAGTTGTATTGGTTTGCTAAGCACCTTTAAGCTTAACGGAGTTAGTGTAGCTCGAGAGAGTCTCTCGGGAGGCTGGATTAGCCACACGTTGTGGTGAACCAGGATAAATTTTGGTGTGCTCCTTCCTTACGCTCTTTATTTTATCGCTCTCGTTTTTAATTTCCTGCGATTTTATTTTAAACCCTATTCACCCCCCCTCTAGCGTTGGGCCTATTTTCTAACAATTGGTATCACAGCCATACTCTCTGAAAGACTTAACCGTTTGAGAGAAATGATCAATGGCTTCTACTCAAAACTTATACGCAGGTGTAGGTGAAGGGCAATCCACCACGAGGCCTTCGTTGTTTGACGGAACAAACTACACTTATTGGAAGGAGCGGATGAGGATTTACATCCAATCCACCAACTTTCTCCTGTGGAGGATTATCAAAAACGGCAAAGATGTTCCCATGAAGAAGGTCGGGGAAACCAACGTCCCTAAAACCGAAGATGAGTATGATGCGCAAGACATCAAGAAAGTCGAGAACAATGCAAAGGCCATCAACATCATCTATTGTGCCGTAAACCCGGATGACTACCGGAAGATTTCTTGTTGTTCCACCGCCAAGGAAATGTGGGACAAGCTAGAAATCACTTATGAAGGTACGGATCAAGTCCGAGAAGCTAAAATAGATTTTCTAACCCATGAATATAAATTGTTTCGTATGAAGGAGAATGAGAAAAATCCTGCGGAGTCTCACACCAGAATGGCGCTCCAAAGCCGATGCCATCCAAGAGTCTATCAGCATCACCAATGTCACCATCGACGGGCTATAGGTAACCTCAAAACCTATGAGTCTACCATTCTTTTCCCCTCTTTAGGTGAACAAAAGAATAAGGGGATTGCACTCAAGGCTTCCTCAAGCCAAGAACCCGCCATGGAGGAATCAAGCGATGAAGACAACGAGTTCGGGTTCGTTATCAAGAAATTCCACAAGTTCATGCGAAAGGAGTATGAACGAAAGGGCAAGAAACATGGAGGACCACCCAAATGCTATGGGTGTGGAGAAATTGGGCATATCAAGCCAAAATGCCCAAATGCCAAAAACGAGAAGGAGAAGAAACCGTTCAAGAAGCACCGAGCTTACATCTCGTGGGGAGGTGATTCCGGTGACGAACCATCGGTAGGCGAAGAAAACGAAAGCGCCAACCTTTGCCTCATGGCACACGAGGAACCACCGGAAGAGGTATGTACCACTTCTAAAGATTCCTACACTATTGATGATGTTCAAGAAGCTTTCAATGAACTTTATGATGAATATGTCAACGCTTCTAAAATTAACAAGGATTTGAAGAAAAAACTTACTTCTATGGAGAAGGAAGTTGATAAACTATCAAAAGATAATGAAAAACTTAAAGAAGAAAATAAGTTTTTTGGAAAAAGAAGCGCCGACAAACCGGAAAGTTCCAAATGTAATTCTTGTACATCACTTAAGCAACAAGTTGCAAAACTTGAAGGAACCTTGAAGAAGTTTGGTGTTTCTCATAAAAATCTTAATAATGTTCTTGACAATTTTCAACTTACTAAACATGGCTTAGGTTTTGAAAATGAAACTAATAATAATAAGGAAAAAGTTGAGCAACCACCTAAACAACCTAAGGCTCAACTTAGGAAAAATAAAATAAGCAATAATAGACAACCTAGAACAACTAGGAACACTAGACCGCCTAGAAAGAACACTAGGATGAACAATGGTCAAGTTAGAGAACCTAGAAACAATTTTATAAATATACATAAACAAAAATTTTCTCAAACTAGGATCAATCAATATAGAAAACCTAGTAACTATTATCAACCTAGGAGAATGCATAATCCAAATGTTATTTGTCATTATTGCAATAGGGTAGGACATATAGACCCGGTTTGCTTCACTAGACATAGGCATTGCACTCAAAACCAATCACACTACCAACGTGCACCTAACGCCCAAGGACCCAAAACGAATTGGGTACCTAAATCTTTTTAAATTGATTTGTAGGTGTGCTTGAAGGCATCAAGTGTACTTTGGTACCTTGATAGCGGATGCTCCAAGCACATGACCGGAGATGCATCCAAGTTCTTGTAAATCAAACCAACTAAAGGAGGAAACGTTGTCTTTGGTGATAATAGCAAAGGCAAAATAATCGGCATTGGTTCGGTTGGTAAAAACGAAACCTCCTCTATTGATAATGTGTTATTTGTTAAGGGTCTCAAACACAATCTCTTCAGTATAAGCCAATTGTGTGACAAGGAAAATCGTGTGACCTTCGATTCTAAATCATGCATGGTATAACGTCTTAGTGACAATAAGATGATTCTTCGTGGTGATAGAATCGATAACATTTATATGGTTAACTTAGATGAATCTCCTTCGGACTTTTCCAAATGTCTCATGAGTAAGGAGGACGATATGTGGCTATGGCATCGTAGAGTAGCTCATGTCAACATGAACCTTTTGAATAAATTGGTTTCACAAGACCTAGTAGTTGGCCTTTCAAAACTCAAGTTTGAGAAGGATACCATTTGTGATTCATGTCAAAAGGGCAAGCAAGTAAGGGCCTCATTTAAATCGAAAAATGTCGTGTCTACAACAAGGCCCCTACAACTTTTGCACATGGATCTCTTTGGACCATCAAGAACAAAAAGTTTTGGGGGAAACTATTTCGCCTTTGTGATTGTTGATGACTACTCTCGATTCACATGGACATTATTTCTAACTCACAAAAGTGAGGCATTTCATGTTTTCAAAACTTTTCTCAAAAAGGTTCAAAATGAAAAAGGCTTAACCACCATGGCCATACAAAGCGATCATGGTGGAGAGTTCGAGCGAGATCTCTTTACCGAGTTTTGTGATGAACTAGGCATCGAGCATAACTTCTCTGCTCCACGTACACCACAACAAAATGGCGTGGTGGAACGTAAAAATCGTTGTCTCGAGGAGATGGTCAGAACTATGCTCGATGAGGCAAAAATTCCTAAGTATTTTTGGGCGGATGCCGTGAGTACCGCGAGCTACGTGTTAAACCGAGCCGTCATTAGACCGATACTCATGAAAACCCCATATGAACAATACAAAGGAAGAAAGCCAAATCTCTCCCATCTTTGAGTCTTTGGTTGCAAATGTTTTGTTCACAATAACGGAAAAGATAACGGAAAAGAATTTTTCTTGGTTATTCATTGCGTAGTAAGGCTTATAGAATCTTCAACAAATGCACCTTAACCGTTGAGGAATCTCCTCATGTTGTCTTTGCTGAAAATGATACTCGCTTGGCGAGAAAGGTTTCTTGTGATGATCTTGTAGATTCATTGTAGAACATCTATCTCAACGACAATGATGAAGGAAACAACTCAAAGGAAGCCCAAGACGAAGAAGAAGAGCCACCTGTGAATGAGGAACAACCACGAGAGGAAGAAACGCCAATGCCAAGGGCATGGAGGACTTCAAAGGACCATCCTCTTGACAAGGTAATAGGTGACATCAACCGAAAGGTAAGTACTCGTAGCTCTCTTAGAGACATTGTAGGACACATGGCTTTTGTTTCTCAAATTGAACCTACAACCATTTCGGAAGCAATTGATGATGAACATTGGAACTTGGCAATGCAAGAGGAGCTTGACCATTTCGGAAGCAATTTATCTTTTTCTTCTAATAATATTGCGTTAATTATAAGTTAAATATAATTAGTTTACATATGTGAATTTGTTAGACCATTAAGGATAAGACTTTTAGGGCATTTTTTCTGTTTTGGCCCAAATGATTCCTCGGGGCTGGCCCTGCTTCCACCGCCAACGCCAGTAATTCCAGTGGCGGCGGCACCACTTCATTCACCTCTATTTTCTTTTCCTTATTTTATCCTCAAATTAGCTTCTCCATTCCAAAAAAGAAAAAAATTCAGTGTTGAAATCACAAAAACAAATAGTCAAAGTAGGAGCTTCCTTCTTGTCCTCTCCATGGTTCTTCTAAAAAAACTGCCAAAGGGAAACATGCCCTAAAAATCCACAACCGCTCCACCATTGTCTAAGCCTGAATCTCATTTACCCTCGAGCCGATGTCTTCCTATAATTTTTCGGATCGGGAACTCCTAAAAAAACCTCTCTCAACTAATAATCCTATCTTCTCAAAAAAAGGGAAAAAAAGGATAGTTGTTTCTCTCCAATTCACCATATCAAAATCTCGTACCCAAATCTTTTTTCCAACACCAATTCTTAACCCACTTTTCTCTTTCTCAAATCACTCATTCTAATCATCAACATCCCTTCTCTTTCTTTTCTCTTGAACCAATAAAAAACCAGAGTAAATCAGCACAAAAGCAAAGCCAAGAGGGGAAGTAGTGAAAGAGAAAAGAATCCCTCTACAACTCACCCCTTCAAGAAGGAAACCGGGCATTTCCCAGATCCAAGAAAAAGACAAAGAATGTCAAGGATCTTCAATCAAACAGACACCTCCAATAACCTTCTCTGTTACGTTCTTCTTCGATGCCAGCAGCTACAAGCGCACTTCAACCCTTTCTCTCTTCTTCAAAGACGTCAGCAGCTACCAGCGCGCGTGAGACTTCTCTCTTCTCCAACGAAGTTAGCAGTTACTAGTGCACGCCAGACTTCTCTCTTCTCCAACGACGTCAGCAGCCACCGGCACACGTCAGACTTCTCTCTTCTAAAAGTTTCTAGTTGCTAGCTAGTCTCCAAGCTTTCTCTTGCTTCAGCCAGAGTTCAGTTTGAGGGGGATGTTAGACAATAATAATAGTATTACCTGTGGTGGTATTGGGTTTGGTAGTGTTTCATTATTAGTCAGCTTCCTAAACCTATTTGTGCTAGATGTTGTATTTTAGTTAGTCTCCATTCTCTATTCCTAGTTGTGTTAATAGTCTCTTCTATATATACTCTATCATGTACTTCATCATTATTCAAGGAGCAATATTATTATTCCAATATTTCAACAGCACTAGTAGCTGCAGACATCGTTGAAGAAGAGAGAAATTAACGTCATCCATATCTCTCCATTCATATTTGGCCCCTTCCTCAAAACCCTTTGTTTTCCTTGTCCCGATTGTCCTCCCGCCGGCGGCCTGAAATAATGGCGGAAATTGCAAGAAGCGGCGGATCATCTCTCCTCCATAGGCTCTTCTTCGCTTCGACTACACGCCAGAGATCCGACGCTGCTGTAAGTTCGTGGGGGCACAGCGGAAATCACCAATTAAGAGCTATGCAAACAAATCAATCCATTATGCTGCAGAGAAGATACTGCAGCACTGTCACAGTAACAGATGACAGATAGTGTGCTATAACACTTTTCTGTCACAAGCACACACAGAAGCAGATGACGCAGAAGGCGTTACAACGCCTACTGGGCAGAGTGCTATAACTATAAAATGCGTAAAAAATAACACCAGATATGTTTACGCAGTTTGGAGCAAATTCTCCTAGTTTGCGGGGCCCACGTCCGTGTAATAGCCCTCCACTAAATTACTAGATGCAAGTTACACCGGTACATAACAACATGATGAGACACACTTCTCCGAATTCTTATGACAAAACTTCTAATCTAGGATTTCTAACCCGTACCCTGAACAAATCTGCTTCAGCTATCACATCTCCACCGAGATCACGAGGACAAACGTGTTGGCAGCCCACTCGTTCATCTCTAATTCATCTGTTGGACGTCACGATATGTTTGGCGTTGAAGATCTCCTTCTTCACGTAGATCGTAACCTTCTTCACATATGGGAAGCTCCGGGACGCGACGGGAATGCTCTACATCAGTGTATATTCTTTCTTTTCCCTCTCAATCGCTCCAAGTAATTCTCAGGGACCTGCTGTGTTTTTATACGCTTCTCTTAACACAATCCTAGTAGGAATAGGTTAATAGAAGTTGGCTTGAACTCAACTTTCTTAATCTTGATCCACAAGTAGCCAAAAGAGTTTGGATTCCTTAACAAGTACAGATGGAGTAATTATCATGTAGTCACAATCACAATAGGTCTCTAATTCATATTGCAGCTTAAAATCCCGTGCTCAGACCTCTGATCCCGAACAGTGTGTTGCAGCATCGTGTTGTAACATCTTCTGTGTCAACCTCGAAAACAGTAGCAACTCTAGAAGTCTAAATAAAATAAACCTCTCCTAACAAATAGAGGTTTCTACCTAGTAAACCATCTAACAAATATGGAATTATATTTTGCCAAAAGATTAGCCAACACTATGGAACTAACAATCTCCCCCTTTGGCAATTTTTTGGCAAAATACATCGTGCACCATGCGCATAAAAGATTAAAGCATCTTTTAAGAACTAAGTAAAAGAAAACAATAGTGCACCTTAGGCGAGAAAAAAACAATATTCATGTTTTCCCTTAACTTGTGTATATTAAGAGATTGCTTGCTTTCCAAATGAATTTTTAAGTAAAAAAAAAAAGAATTGGTGCAAATAAATCAAAAGAATGAAGATTGTATTACTTATGACGTGTCCGAGAGACTAATGCACAAAACTTGAAAATGAGACATTTGCCATGGAAGAGAAAAGATATAAATACTACACCTACGCTGATTCCAAATTTATGGTACATTTCAAAGGCTATTTTGTTCATACACTGTAAAGGTCGTGACCAACATGTTTTGCACCATAGTTCGTACCTTGTAAATGCTAAGAAAATATTTTCTACACCACCTAGTCACCAACACATGCATCAATTGGGTTCTAGTCTCTACACATATCACATCCAAATTCCTTAAGGTAGTGTTTGGCAACTAGCATTTCATTTCAATTCATGCATTTCAATTCTAAAATTTAAAATCTTGAATTTCAAATGACAAGGGGAGGTGCATGAATTTCAAATTAACCTTTGTTTTGAATGTAAAGAATTTGATTCAAATCCAAATTCAAAATGCTTAAGTTTTCCAAACATGGAATTTAAGCCAAATCCGGATTTGAAATCCAAATCCATATTTCCAAACATACCATAAGATAAATATTCACTAATTAAATCAACATTGTAACTGAGTGGTTGTTGCAACTCTTTTAATTGTGAAAAGTTGATTTCCAAAATTACCTTTTTTTTGGTGCGTAACTCTGGACTCTAAACATGTCTCAATAATCAACATTATAGGCCAAGTAGCTGTAAAAATCAACTGTATTTATTTAGAGGGTCATGATAGATTAACAAAAATTTAAAATACTTCCACATTAAGGATCCACATTAAGTTTACTTAAGATATATAAATAGCACGTAAAATTTTATTAGGCATCAGGAATACCTAAACTAAAATTTGAGGCGTCTGTTATGGCCTAAGATTTGTCACATAGCTAACCATATAGAAACAAAATAAAAACAGAAGAGCACTAAAGCTAAGAGATATCGTTCTAAGTAGCAATTTCCATCATCTCCGATGGAGCCAAAATTTCACCATTTTTTGGCTTTGGGGTGTGATGGAATAAATCAAAATGGATCTCTAAACTGTCTGCGCTTCTTTAATTAATGAAGTAGCAGTTAGTCAAGCAATGCAACTTTCGACGTTGAGCTGGGGGTCTCTTTGGAAACAGCCTCTCTACTTTCGAGTAGGGGCAAGGTCTGCGTACACACACCCTCCCCAGACCCTACTCTTGTGGGATTTAACTGGGTTGTTGTTGTTGTTGTTGTTGTTGTTTGCTTTTTAAGTAACCTGCAAGCAAAATATAAACACTCTTAAAGGTTATTAGGAATTTCATTTAAAAGCATAATAGCTAAAAGTCACCAGAGCTGACTTCCTGCCAGACTATCTTAACTAAATGTATTGAGAGCTGGTTATTAGTTATTCAGAAACTTTAAACTAAAAAAATCTGATTTCCTTGATATGATTTGTAAACCCTCTAAGCTATTATAGTTCAAACCCCCTAAATTGGTTGTTCCCAAAGTTATGATATTGTTGGATTTATAATTTCTGAAAAAAGAAAACAAAAAGCTGAAATACTATTTTAAATAATACTCCGTAATATTTAAAAAAAAATACCATCACATTGTAGACTGTTGCTGCAAGGGTAGATATCCAGCCGCTGTCCTCAACCTTCATCTAGATATTCAGCAGCCAAAATCTCGCTCAATTTTACTGGAGAAGGAAATTTATTCTATCTCTTTTCTTGAAGAGCATGTAATAAAGTGAATTGCAAAGTAATTAATGGATGGTAGCCAGGTGGTGCTGCGTATTCCCTGGTCATATTTTTACAGAATTCGACAAAACAAAGACCCAAATTCAGGTAAAAACCTATGAAATGAAAGATTCAACCCAATGATAATCCAAAAAGTTCAAAAAAAAATCCCAAAAACAATAGACTGAAAGATAACTACTACTCAAAAATAACTATAGAATTTACCGAAAAGGTAAAATAAGTCAATGGAAAAAAGATTTCGGGAGAGCAAGAGTTGAGTACCCTCTGTTCTTCTACAATGCTTCATTGCCATTTGCCACTGAGTAATTTAAAAAAAAAAAAAAAGAGTTCAAGTTCTAGGGTTTAACTATGTGCTCCGTAAATCTTACAGTGAAATACTATACCATATACATCACAATTTTAGAGGCCCGGATTTAATAAGAGTAAATTAAAACATAATTCAACAGCAAAACTTACTGCAAAAAACGCTCCCTCCGTCTCTGATCATTCGAAGACCCGTTCTCACCATCCCGGCCAAATCAATTTCGCCTTGGTGGCCTAAACCGCCGCCACCACTTTCTCCGCTGTGACATGGTCAAAATTGAGAGAGCGGAGCCGCAGAAACCCGTGTTGCCTTTGCCATCTTTGAAATTAATCAAAAAATTAATCGGCTGTGGGAGGAAGACAAAAAAAACGAACCTTACTCAAGAAACAATGGCAGCGGCACGATTAGATCAGGCAGGAGAAATAAAAATTCAAAAGATGGAACCCTAGATCTTAAGATGAGGATGATATGAGGTTCAATGTAAAGCCTAGAAAAAAGAGAAGTCCTCAGTATTACACTTTCTCGAGAAGAGCAAAGGAGAAATTTTGCTAATTATTATTATTTATTATTTATTCATATTATTAAAAATTAATTAGTAGTTTAACTACTCTATGATTTCCAAAAATAACACTAATGGTTATTTAGAGAAATAACACTTATTACTAAAAATAACAACAACAACAACAATAACAATAACAATAACAATAACAATAACAATAACAATAACAATAACAATAATAATAATAATAATAATAATAATAATAATAATAGAAGAAAAAGAAAAAAATGGGAAGCCAAGGCTAAGAAGAAAAGAGGAAGAATATCAAGAAGGAGAAGAGTTGACGGCAATTTGGTTTTGAGGGAGGGAGGGATGGAAAATTGAGACTTTTTTTTTAATAATTTAAAATAAATTTCATAATTGATCCTTTATAATAGGATTTCCTTATATAGTCTTCTATTATCAAATATTACTCCAGTGTACTTCTTTTATGGATATTTTTTCACAAATAGTCTTTTTTTAATTTTCTATCATGTTACGATTAATTTGAGGGCTAAAAGTGTAATTTCACAATGATAATGTATCTTTTTTGTCATACACAATTTCAAAGGTTGTTCCATTTGTGTCGTTTGTGAATTACAGTCGCTTTCTACTACAACCACAGTCTTCAAATGTGGTCTTTCGTCAGAATTCTAGCCCACAATCATAGTCATTATTTTTGTGTTATCCGCTTAAGCAATATCAGAACACGTCACTAGACATAATGTTGATGTCAAATTATACTTTTAGCCTTTAAATTAACACCAACATGACAGAAGATAAAAAAAGGACTATTTGTGGAAAGGTATCCTTAAAAAAAGACTACAAAGGTAATATTTGATAATAGAGGACTAAATATGGAAACCTCCATGTTATAAATGACCAATTATGGAATTTACTCAATAATTTAAAGTATATATACTACTCCCTCCGTCCGGGAAAGATGTTCCCACTTTGAATTTTCCTCATTTTTAAGAGGCATTGACCAACGGGGTAAATAGACAAAAATGCCCTCCACCCATCCCTACCCATCATACGGTTCATACCCAACTCGGCTGGAACTCACTGGCCCATCACCTACGGCCGCCCCAGCACCCACCAACATTGTGGTACAGATCTAAAAGAAAGAATAAAGAGAAAGAAAAAAAGAAAGAGAGGAAGAAGTGTAGACTCACCATCGCCGGCCGCCATCATCGCCGCCTTGTGTATGCCTAGATCTAGAAGAAAGATGGAAGAGAAAGGAGAAAGGGAAGATAAGAAGAATAAAAAGTAAGGGGGGAGAAAGAGGAGAGGAGTAGGAAGAGATTGAAGAAAGAAAAGTAGGAAACCAGAGATGGTAGAGAAAGACACGGGGAGGAGGAGGAGAAGAAGAAGATGAAGAAAAAGAAGAAAAGATTGAAGAGAGGAAGAACGGAGATGGAGGAGAAATAGGAGATGAGGAAAATGGGTGGAGGAGAAAAAAGAAGAAAAGAAAAAAGAAAAAAAAGGAAAAGAAGGAAGATGAGGGTAATTTGGGAAAAGGAGTGGAAAGATAGTAGAATGGGAATATCATTTCCAGACGGAAAAAAGAGTATAATGAGAACATATTCCTGGGCGGAGGGAGTACTATACTAGGGGTAGCACCAATCCAATTTTTTGTGTGTCCGTTTGGTACACGAAATTGATGGAATTGAATTGAGAACTGAAATTCTATGGAATTGATATGGATGGAATTGCATTCTCCAATTCCAATACATTCTTGACAATCCATATGTTTTTGTGATACCAAACAGTAAAATTGGAATTATTGTGTCCAATTCTAATTCAATAGTTTGAATGGAAGAAAATAGCTTCTCAGTCTGAACCGATCAGATACTGGTAAGGAAAGTGCTACCAGGTTCGCTTAGCACAAAGAAGTGAATGAAGGGCCGAAATGGTACGCCGTGTGACTGTGTCGCCGTCTCGCCAGTCGCCTCTCTAAATACGAATTACTCCGTAAGTCTAATTTGATATTATTCGATACTCGTGCAATAAATATTGAAATCCAATTTTCACTTGCACTCTGAGAGTTCATCTTGGACTAGACTGTTTTTTTTTGTATGTGGCTGATATTTTATAACATGAATATCCTACGGAAACCTTCTTGCTTGTATTTGTTGAATTCTCATTACAATTTCATTTTGACAGTAAATGTGCACTTGTTGTATTTGTTGAGTTCTGATTACAATTTCATTTTGGTCGATAGAATAATTCTTTAGGTACTGAAATTATACTCCCTCCGTCCTAAATTAAACTTGTTCTTTACTTTTTGCACAATGTATCAGTGTGTGTGTGTGTGTGTGTGTGAAAATAAGTGTGTGTATGGTGAAGGGATATCGATGTATCAGTTTTTTCTTCGTTGATTGACACAAGTAGTGAAAATAACCTCACAAATGCTGTCTGTGTGTGTGTGATCTGAAGACCATTCGTGACGTAACTTTTTAAAATTGATGTGGTTCAACTGTTCAAGTAATCAACTTGGAGAAAGCAAGGTGCTTGAAATTTTCATGAAGGGCACATGTGATATATCAATATGATACTCTGTATTTATTATGTCGTCTTTCTTGCTTATTCAATCTAAGAATTAGAGTGTTGATTAACTAGTATTCCGTAACAGTTTTAGCCAAGCCTGACCAGTTGTTCCCGAGTTTATTTATTTCTGATAATTTATGACAATAAAACCTGATAGTGGTTTATGGAATTCTGATGCATACAGGGCAGACTAAGTACATAGTGATTTCATTGGTACCCCAAAGTAAATCAAGATGTTTTATTTTTTCTTTGGTCTTTTGGTATATTATTATAATCTGCCATCTTAAATAGTACCCAAGTGGTTGAGCTCCTCCTTGGAATTCCTTCTGCAGCTGGACCAATATTCAGCAACCAGTTTCGAGAATGAAGAATTAATTCCCATCAGCTTTGAAGGCTCATCATATTCGACGAGTTTCCCTGCAAAACAAATTGGGGAAAAAATAGAGCTTTCATTGTTTTTAGTTGCTGGCCTTTGAATGGGTTTTCTTTGTCTGATGGTCAGTTCCTGAACTCAAATGGAAAGGAATATGATATACATGTCTGATGGAATGGGAAGAGCTTACCAAAAGAGAGGAGGAGGACCATATCGCTGTCTATGACAGTGGGAACACGATGAGCAACAGTGATGACTGTGCAATTGCAAAATTCTTCTCTGATGATTTTCTGCAGAGTGGAATCTGTAGCGGAGTCTATGGAAGCTGTTGCCTCGTCCAGAACTAAGATTCTGTTCCTCTTCAGAAGTACTCTTCCGAGGCAGAACAGTTGGCGTTGCCCCATGCTCCAGTTGTCGCCCTCATCACTCACTGTTTTTGATATGACAACGAAACCAAACCAAACAAGATCATGGGTACGTGATGATGATGGTGTTGAGAAAATCCAGACACACACACACAAACTTTATACTTTTGAATCACCTGAGGAATCTAGCTGGTGTGGAAGTCTGCTAATGGTATCCTTGAGCTGGCATTTCTCCAGAGCCTGAAAAGGAACTTTTAGGGTCTTGTTTGGATTGGCTAGGTAGTCAGAATAAACTTGTGATTAGAATGATGGGAATTCATTCAAGTCCAGTGCAGTGGGAAAACCCCAAAGTATGAGAGAGGCATCATATCCCTCTGATTCCAGGAATTGAAGATTCTCAAGAGTCAGTGAATTCTCGGATCTTCCAAATCCAAACAATCACACACTATCCAAAATTCAAATAAGACATATATAGTACATTTGGAGTAATCAAAACACGCAGCAATCAAATTTTGGTGATTGTCTAGACAAATTTACCTTCCAAATTTCATCATCAGAGTAGAGGCCTAAAGGGTCCAAATTTGTTCGAACACTCCCTCGGAAAAGAGTAGGCTCTTGTGGGATGATGCTGAGTTTTAGCCTCAAATCTTTAAGGCCTATGGAGCAGATATCAAGACCATCTACAATGATTTTCCCACTGCAAGGCTCCACTAGGCGAAACAATGCACTGATGAGCGTCGTTTCCCCGCTTCCTGTCCTCCCCACAACTCCTACTCTTGCCCCTTCATTGACAGTGCATGTTATTCCTTTGAGGACTAATGGAGCATTTACATGGTATCTTATCTGCATTCAAACAAGGTAATATGCTAATCGTATGTGTCGATAGTACTTTCTGAAACATTTTAGTTGGTTTAGAATATGGCATATACCTTCAAGTCTAGGAATTCTATTCTACCCTTGGAAGGCCAAGAAGAGTTTGGCCTGTTATTTTCCACCACAGCTGGTGGCTCTGGAGTTAAATGCATAAATTGTTTTATCTTTTCAGCTGAGATAACATAGTTAGCTAAGCTGCTATACCACCGGCTTAAAGACACTTGATTGCTTGTTAGTACCAAGGCATACGAAAAAGAGAGGCCCACGAGACCTGAACCACGAGAATGGTTAGAGGGGGCAAACCTTAGAACATTGAAGAGTATAATCAATGCATATATCTGACGGCAAATCAGTTATGAAACTCATCATGACCTTTAGGGCATGTTTAGATCACAGAAAATGCTAGGGGAAAGAAAAAGAATGATAAGGAAGATTGGTTTGTTTTGCTTTACCTTGTAAAATGCATCTGAAACTGAGATACTCCGTATGATTTTCTATTTATAAGTTTACTTTAAAAAAATCAGTCTCTATGAGAAAGACAAAAATAATTAAATAAATGAAAGGAGTATCAGTAAATTTCTAAAATAAATATATTGAGTTTTTTTCCCCTTTTTTAAGAAAAAAAAAGATAAGTAAGATTGGTTTGTTTTGCTTTACCTTGTAAATTGCATCTGAAACCGAGATACTCCGTAAGATTTTTTTATTTATAAGTTTACTTTAAGAAAATCATAGTCTATATGAGAATGATAGACATAAATAAATAAATGAAAGGAGGATCAGTAAGTTCCTAAAATAAATGTATTGATTTTTATCCCTTTTTGTATTTTAATCTTTCCCCAGTATTATTCGGGATCTAAAGGACCCTTAGTACCTGAAGGGAGAAAACGCGATGGAACTGCAATTAGGAGGAAAGCAGCTACGAAAAGGGTGAGATTTTGGAGTGTTTCCGTTCTCAAAACCAGCCACTCCATAGCTCCATTTGAGCTGAAAAAGACTTTTGCATCTGCATCAACTAGTTTCAGATAGTTGAGGAAAAACATGTCTGCCATATCAAAGGCCCTTATCGTGGCAACTCCAAGTGATGTCTCGGTTGCATAACTCATTAGTGGAGCCTTTGTTGTCCCATTGATCCGCATCAATTCCCTTGCTGTGGGTTGATAGTATTCCTTCACCCAAACACAGACGCCATGAGAAACAACTACATTTTTATAAACTGAAGGGAGGGGGATTACATATTAAGACTAGGGGTTCAATCTTAACTAGTCATTCTCATAGTAGTCCTATGTTTTTGATGTTGGTTTCTATCTTTATGTTTGTCTGATGTGACTATGTGGGAAAGTATGACATTATACAATACTAGACACTGTTGGATATACCCCTGCGTAGGCACTACGCTCTTTTTGGGCCCACCTAGGCTCTCCTTTAAAAGACATTGTTAGGAGAAGATATCGGACCTGGACATATTTGGCGGCAACAATAGCTATGATGCCTACAATGAGAACCTGCCATGTGATGGAGGCCATAATAATAATAATTGCAACCAATTCTATCCCAGCAGACGATGCATAAACATATGCGAAAGGGATGTCAAAGTCCAATACACTCAGGTCTGAAGAAGCCTGAAGTGGGAGGGAAAAAAACAGAAACTTATTATTAAAAAAAAACCATCCCAAAACATATGTGCATATGTATATGATAGGGAAATGCATATGCCTTCATCTTACACGAGTTAATATCCGTCCAACTGGTGTAGAGTCGAAGAAAAGCATGGGAGCCTTGAAAACAGAGTCTAAAAAACCAGAGAAAAAGACTTTTGAAGCATTGACTCCAAGGAGGACTGCAAATAGGGATCTGAGATACACAAAGAGTGTACTTAGCTGAGAAAGCAAAGTAAAAACTCCAATGATCATAAGATGACTGATTTTGGGACTTTGAATGGAAACTGCTAGCCAATAGCTTGCTGCAGCCTGCAAAACCACGAAACTAATTTGACCTACAATGTTTAGTATCATGTAGAGGGATCCTTTGGAAATCAAAATGTAATCCATGAATATCTTCCACACAGATTCATTCGGATCCCTCTCCTCATTTTCTGTTAGCTGTGGATCCCCTTCCTTCAACAAAATCTGACAATTTTCTTTATTTACTAAGTAGTCCATTTTAACCTCTTCACGCCCCCCACCAGTTGTATGCTCTTTATGAGTTCTATCATCAATCTTGTTCACCAGCGGATCAAACGCATTTACTGCACTTTCGTGAGCATTCACGAGCTGTTCAAAGGACATCCCGCTCATCAGCAGCTCATTATAGCATCCTGATTGACTAATTTCTCCTTCTTCCAGTACCTAGATATATTAAACTTCAAATCACTTTTGGGTTGAGCCACTCATCCACACAAGCACATGAGTCAAAGCCACACTAAAAGATTGAATCCAATCGATTATATACCCAAGGGACTGTTTACAACAATTATCATTAATTACCAGAATGTGATCAACGGCAGAGAGAAATTCTACTTGGTGAGTGACAAGAATGACAGTTTTCGTCTTCAATGCATTGATAACACATTCCTGCAATTTCATTCAAGTGCAGTTAATAATCAAATAAGCATATATGTTTATCTGAGTTAGATTAGATTTCTTACATGGAAAAGAAATGAAGCAGTATGTGCATCAACAGCACTGAAAGGGTCATCTAGAAGATAAATGTCTGCATCACTGTAAACGGCTCGAGCCAACTGAATTCTCTGTTTCTGTCCCCCACTCATATTCAGTCCTCTCTGCCCTATCTCTGTCAAGTCACCATAGCTGAAGCTGTCGATGTCTTTGTCTAGAGCACACACTCTTATCGCCTCTTCATATCTGCCTTTGTCCATTGGCTTCCCAAACAGTATGTTATCCCGAACCGTCCCGCTCTGGATCCAGCAAGCTTGTGACACATAAGCAATTGAGCCAAACACGTTCACCTGGATTTAGTTTCAAGAAAGAAAGAAAAAACCTCTGCAACATCAAGTTAAACTAGGGAAAGTTGCTGTTTTAGTCCCTTAATTGTTTGATATTTTTGTTGAGATACAATCAGTATTTCAGTCTCTCATGTTAAAACCACCGTTTAGTATTGAGGGCTCATTTTGGCAATACAGTGCCAAGAATGCCCTTGTAAATGCTAGGACTAGTTTTTACAGAAATTGAAAGGCGGACATCGTATCACATAGAAACACACTTGAGATATTTTCCAAGTAAACTACATTATTTTAATGTCTATAACTCACAGTTCCTGAAACTTTAGGTATTTCTCCAAGTATAGCATAGAGAAGTGATGACTTTCCTGCTCCAACGGCTCCACAGACTGCAATTTTCTGACTCCTTCTCACTTGAACATTTATGTTTCTAAGTAAAGGCTCTGATTCCCAGCTGAAGCAGCCATTCACTACACTTACACTGTTCTCTGAACGTCCAACCGGAGATCGGGTAACACCCACTCTTTTAATCTCATCTTCTAACAGGAAAGAATTTATCCTATCAATGGAAACTTTAGACTGAATTATGATAGAAAGAGCTTCTGGTAACAGCCTAACGGGTTCTGACATGACCCTTAATACTGCCAAGACAGTGAACACTGTGGCAGTATCAAATGCAGCACTGTTGAAGATGAAACACCCTAAGAATACAACAGATGAGATGATTGTGGGAGATGCCCAATACAAAAAGGTACTCACTGTCTTGCACAATTGAGCTTTTGTTAACCATTTTAATTCAATATCTCTATAGGATTCGACTGCATTCTTGAAGTTTTCTTCCCACGATTGTAGCTTGATAATCTTCATACTGTTCAAGATCTCAGAAATGCACCTTAGTCTCTTGTCTTGAGCAATCATGAATTTAGACTGGCACTTTTGGATTATCTTTGCAAATGGCGCATTAAGAGCTCCAAAGATAGCAAGAGGGGCTAAACCGAGAACGGCACCAAGACCAACCACCCAAAAGAGCACTGCAACAGACAGAAAGATTTGCAGAGCAGAAGTCCAACCAATGTGAAACCACATTACAGATTCCCCCATCCGATATGCGTCAATTGCAATATAATTCACAATCTCTCCTGTTGAATGCCTTTGCTTGCCTCGGTTTGAAAGCTTGAGCTGTTTCTGAAAACCGCCGCCATTAGAGCTGATCTGATTCTCATTCCTACCCTCTTGGAGTAGAAATAGAAATGCCGGCTGGACAGTGAGTCAAGAACCTTGTCAAGAATCAAGCACCCAACTAGCAGAAGAGCTTTGGAGAGCTCTTTACTCTCAAGATTTGAATACGACACGAATGCATATAGCAGGAGTGGAGAAATCAGAACCGCAGTCGTCCTAAGAAGTGAATAGACTCCCCCGAGCATCATTTCTTTCCAGTACCTTCTTGATATAGCTTTTAGAACCAAGTTTAATGAACCTTTGGAACTATTTTCCCACTCATGACACAGTTTATCATAGTTCAGCTTTGCTTCATCTTCTGATGCTAA